TGTGTGTGGTGATGGTGGTGGTGGTGGTGGTGGTTTTAGTTGCCACAATGCCTGGGAGGGCCTAATGTATTTATTTCCGTTACTAAACCTCTTGCATGAGACAATCCCTAAAGTGGAGAATTATCCTGCTAAAAATGTTACTATTGCTTCTTTTAAAAAAACAATCAAAGTGCTAGGCCAGCCGTGGGCAAACTACGGCCTGTTCGGCTGTTCTATCCGGCCCGCGGAGCCGAAAGAGCGGAGGGTTCTCTTGCTCTCCCCTCCGCTCCTTCACCAGCAGCAGTGTTAACATGTATTAGTTCACACAAACACTCCATCCATGCTTTTGTTCTGGCCCTCCGGGCCAGTTTAAGAACCCACTGTGGCCCTCGAGTCAAAAAGTTTGCCCACCCCTGTGCTAGGCTCATCTCTTAATGGTCTAAGGCCCCTAATTTGACAGGCTCCCACCTTAAAATTACTATAAGTTACGTAATGTTTATTGTCCCTTCATATGCTAAGGTTGGGAAGCCTGGCTCATTCCCAAGGCCGCTAGGAGCTTTCCCACAAGTGGAATGCCAGCCAAGGTTTCACCCTGATGATTGAGAGTCCGATGAGCTTCGAGTTTTACTAGGTGAGGTAAGCTGAAAGAGTGGTTCTGAATTCAGAATTTCCTAAAATAAGAAAACCCCCCACTTTATTTAGACAAGCATATAGAAACACTATCTATCATAACACATGTGCCTCAAAATGTAATTAAGCAAGGGTACCATCTAATACCTCTGTTCCTAAGCTTCTATGCTACCATTCACTGCTTCACTGAGGATTCCTTGGGCTAAATTCTTGTACTTCATCTTTCAAACTGGAAGCATTTCCTAGGGCCAGCAGGATCAGCGTGACCTGGAACTGTCGGAAACACAGAGCCATGGGCTTCCCCCCAGACCTACTGAGTCAGAACCTGCTTTTTAACAAGCTGCAAAGGCAGCTCGGACGCCTGTGGAAATTTGAATAACCCTGTGTGGGGTAGGCAAGCATCCTCACATACTCGGCTGGACTCATCTTCCAGGTTCGCATCTCCCTGGCGCTTCAGGTTTGAACCCAGTTTCAAGTGGAAGCATTTGTGAACATGTTCTAAGCCTTATTTCTCTATGTTTTGGCCAGAATGAGAAAGGAATTCCAAAGGGAGAAGTTCAAGTCAGGACCCTGGCCCTGGCTTCCCGCCTCTTCCTGCCAAATGGGGAAGTACCCACAAGGGGGAAGTGAGGACAGCAGGTCTCTGGTTTCCTGTGCCTGTGTTCCCTGCACCCGACCAGGTGGTCCCTGAGAGAGATGAACTGGAGGCTGGCAAACCTGTTGTCTGAGTAAAAGCCCACAGTATTGCTGGTTGTTTGTTGGTTGTTTTAACCCGCAAATTTCTTAGTTGCTTTGAGAATCCCCTGGAAGTTTCTCTCCCTCTTCTAACGTGATTTCCTTCTTTTGCAAATCATGCTTCCCTTAGGCTCATTCTAGGTAAAATTCTATGAAAAAGAACTCATTTCTGAAAGAGCTCTCTTCCAGAACAAAACTAAGATTATATTAATTTTTAAAAAATTTAAATAAGCCTTAAACAGTTTGCGTGGGAAGAATGGCAGTGATCAAACTTCAGTGGGAAGGCAGGGGAGGGTAGGGGGGTGGTAAAAGGACTTGTATGCATGCATATAAGCATAACCATTGAGACCCTAGGCGGGTGAGGGCATGTGCCAGGTGGGTGGGGGAGGCCAGGGGAGTTCAACAGGGGAAAAAGGAGACATATGTTCTAATATTTGTAATGCTTTAAACATACAAACAAACAAAAAGAATGGCGGTGATATGAACACAGGTTTCTTATTTGTTCTTGGCCAGTGATATTTTAATCCCTTTCCTCTTTCTTCCTATAGTTCTAGCTTCCTCCTCCCATGTCTCAGGGAAGGGTCAATACTCCTCCCTTTATGAGCGCGGTGATTGAAAGGGAAGAGCAAAACTCCGGGACTAAAGATACTACACAACATGGACGATTAAGAATTGACTACAGGCCGTGTATTCCCTTGAAATGGATTATACAGAGACAGATCTCTTATTTTTAATGTTCTTATCAAGAAAAATTTAAATACTTAATTTTGATAAGGGGAAAAAGAAACCTTAGGTTTTCTTGTTTCTTTCTCTTTCTCTTTGCCCACATAGGAAAAAAATGATAGCATGCTTCCTGTGAATGGCAAGTAATTCATCCATGCTCTGAATCACTGATGACTTTTTGAACCAGATTCTCCTGAGGCATAGGTAATTTTCTGGAAATTTAATCTGGGCTGAAAGGACTAATGATGCTTTCTTAAAAAAAATAACACAAAACAAAAAAGCAAACAAAAAAACTTAACTAGGGCTATCTGTGAACTAGATCACCAATTTTTTAATTTTGGAAAGAAATGGAAACCAACCTAATGGGCAGACCTTTCCACCATTGGTTCCACTTCTCTGAACTCTGGTATCAACTTGAGAAGTTACGAAGCTCTTTCTCTGGTTCAGAAGCCGGAAGGCTCTGCCCAGGGCCCTAGCATCACTGTAAGGGCATTTTGAAGACACCTCTCTTTCAGAGCCTGAAATAAGACCGGCAGCAACACAGGAATTGGGGGGATACGGATGACATATCCAAGTACCGCCTCTGAATTGAATTCGGGTTCTTATTTACAAAGATATTTTTGTAAGTTACTATCATCATCATTGCAACGGTCATCCTCAACACCCACAGCATCCTCATCTTTGTAATCCTACACAGGTCACTAAGGCTACGGAGGGGAGTGAGGAATGGAGACAAAGGCTTAAAGGAACCCTGGTAAATAAATGTTAATTTGCTGTTAGGGAGACATCCTCACATACTCCATATACATCGTCCAGGTTTACACTGTTCAGTATGGTCCTGGCTTCTGAGGTCTAGGATGCTGGTTAGCAATAGAGGAGGAAGAATTACTGAGAATCTGTAGAAAGTGCCATACGTTCACGCATACCTGATAACTGTCTTCAGACTTCCTATCTGGATACCATGTATGGAGCTGATTTTTAAGACCTATTGTTATAACTAAACATACACATTTTATATTTTATCATTAAAATTTAATATACTTTTTTTTTTTTTTTTACCTTGTGGACATGTTGTTAAGAAAATCAGCTAACGGCTTTGATTGTCCGAATGTTTCTTTTTCCTTTTCTAAAAATTCTCTTGGATAATATTGTGTAGTAGCGTTTCTGGGATATGTCCTAATATAATAAAAGAAAACAGAATAACAAAAATAAGATCAAAGAGAAGCAAATACAGTCATGACAGGTCAAAGATTTATCTCTGTGACAGTATTAGGTTATTATTTTATATTTAAATCTTATAATTGAATTTCTTCTTTATCCTAGAAAATCAATGTTGACTGCCATTTAAAGTATTTGTGTTTATCTCTCAAACATAATCAATAAGCTCTTATTTTTTTAAAAAAAATCATTTAGCTATCATTTTAAACTTATGGGAAAGTTGTAAGAAGAGTATAAGAAACTCCCATACTTCTTTCACCTCAATTCATCGATTATCAACATGTTGCCTCATTTGTTTGTCATTTTTTCTCTTGCCATTTCCTCAAATCAGTGTTTCTTAACCAGTGCAATCCTATTCCACCCCCACAGCCTGGGAACACTTGGCAATATCTGGAAACATTTTTGGTTTTCACAGCTGGGAAGTGTTATTGGCACCTCGTGCTTAGAGCCCAGGCAGGGATGCTGTTAAACAACCTACAATACACGAGACAGCTCCCTCCCTGCACCCTGTCCCCGACAGATAATTACCCAGCCACAAACCTCAGCAGTGTTCAGGTTGATAAACTCTGCTCTGAATATACGAAACCAGGAACAATGGACATTTAGGCAGCAATGGCAGCAGATTCTCTGGAGGAAAGCTTCTCCAACCAGACTGGCTGCCCTCAGTGCTCACCTTCACCCTTGAACACATCACATTGCATTGTGCCTCTGGGCTTTGTCGGGCTCACCCATTACACTGGGTGAGCAACTTGGTTTTAGGCTGTGGGGCCACAGAGAGGTCACATGACACAGTCCTTAAGAGTGTGCACTCTGTGCAGGCTGCCTGGCTTTGAAACCTGAGACTGTCACTTATCATGTGACCCTGAGCTCATTATTTGACCTTTCTGTGCCTGTTTTCTCATCTAAATAAAATTCATAAAGTACCTAGCTCATAGGGTTATTGTAAGAATTGAATGTGTTAATACAGGCAAAGCTTTTAAAACAGCACTTGCATGTTTTAAGTGTTCAATAAACTATTAGATTGTACTTAATCTGTGTTTGTTGAGCAAATGTCAGTAAAATGTCTCTGTGAGAGTAATCAAAAAGAGAGGTAAAGAAGATTTTGCTCATACTGAAGAGAATAATTCATGCCTCCCAAGCCCTGCCCCCGCCTAGACCAGTATCCATAGCAGAGGCAGAATGATGGAAAGAAATGTTGGTATTGGAACCAAAGAGACGTGGGCTCAAATCTTAGCTTCACCTTTTAATTTCTATCCCACGGGTAGGATTAAGAAATTATATGGCACCTGGTGGTTTCCTCAAGGTAGCAACAGGACTAAGGGTCACTCTGATTTTTCTAAATGTGATTCGTTTTGTTGTTTTTCAGCAAATCTATTCATTATTGATTCAAATTTAAGTTATGTTCTAAATACTGAGCTTTCATTTTTAACCTCTCTGCCTCAGTTCCTTTATTTTTAAAATGGAAACAGTGCCTACCTCTGAGGGCAGTTGTGAAGGTTAATTGAGTTGATGTGTGCAACGTGCTTATTAGAAGAATGCCTGGCTTGTGGTAAGAGCACTGTAAACATCTGCTTTCCTTGCAGTTACTCTTTGAACCTCTTCATTGATTTTTTTCCTTTTTAGTTCTTTCATCACAATCATATATCCCATCTTCTCCTCCTCAGACCAGCTAATTTCCTGATCTTAGTAAGTGGCACCAGCTTTCTCTGTCACCTAGATTCGAACCACTGGAGTTCTTTTGATGCATTTTTTTTTCACTTTGTGGGTCAAGACCTGTCCTTATTTCTCATCTGTTCACTCTAGCTGCTAGATAGAAACAACTGTCCACTATTACCAGTCAACATCCATTGAGAACCTACGAAGGTCCCTTTTGCCAGAAGTTCACTGTCCCTTTCTGAGTCGACCTCCTGAGTCTACCCTGGCTGACTCATTCTTGCCACTTTTCTGTACCCTGGCAGGAACATAGAAGAAGCCTCTGTTGGCTTAACTAAGAATTTTCTCTCAAACTCTAAGTTGTTTTTTTTTGTACTAATGTAGCATCTCTCTCCTTCAAGTCTCACCCTCACTTCTTGGTGTTTATTAATCTCTGATGTTCTGATTCTCTGCTGAAACTCGACCACTGATCCTTGTCTTTCTTTTCAATTATTTGGTTCCGGATTGTACATTCATCTGCCTCCCTGGTTTCTGACCCATTTCTTGTCCTGACCCCTGGATTTGATGTATATGTGCCTGGACGTTCACGTTGCTCTCTCATGGTTTCTGACTCGCTGCTTCACACAGAGCTGAAAGCATGTTTTATACCACACCCCACACTGCTGGCCCTGATTCTCCTGGTCACAGTCTCACTGCATATTTTATGGCTCTTCTCTTAACACTGAACTCAAGTCGGTCATCCCTTCTGACATTCTCCCTTAACTTGTTCCCTCTCCTCCTTTCCTTCCTCATCCCTTTATTCCCTTCATTTAGTGAATCTGTGCCAGGAGCTGTCCTAGAAACTGGGGACATAGAAGTAAACAAAATAGAGCAAGTGCCTGTCTCAGGAGCTTAAATTCTAAGTGGTAGGTGGGAAGAAGGTGAGAAAGGAGAGACAATGATAAATACATTTCAAGCGACAATAGTGCCATGAAGAAAAAAATAGAGTAAGCGGGTAGACAGAATGGAGTTGCTGTTTTTATAAAAGCGTGTTGAGGAATGCCTCATTCAAACCGAGATCTGAATGAAGGAGGAAATGAACCCTAAGGATGGGGGAAGAGCAGCCTATATACAGGAACTGTGAGCATTAACACATCAGGTATGAGTATGCTTGGTGAATTCAGGGAACAAGGAAGCCACTGTGGCTGGAATGGATGAGCCAGGGAATTATGGGAAATGAGGGACAGGGGCAAATGGGATCCCAATCAGTCTGGCTCTTCTATGGGAACAGAATGTAGGAGGGCAAGGATGGGTAGAGGAAGCCCAGTCAGGAGGCATTGCAATAATCCAGATAAGAGATGAAGAAGGCGTGGTCCAAGATGACAACAATGAATATAGTGTGTCCCCCCAAAAATGTACACACACTTTTAACAGCTGATAATCACTTAATTTTGAAAATTAACTGTTTATTTTGAAAATAAACACTGACTTTATATAATCATTCAAAGCGTGTATACATTTTTTGGGACACTATATTTTGAAGGTAGACCCAACAGAATCCAAGGTTTGGGGTCTTAGTAATTACAAGAATATCACTGCCATTGGCTGAGATGAGGGAGATTTAGGGAGTTTCAGACTTGGAGGTAGGAAATTTAAAAAATTGTTTGTGGGTATGTTAAATTTGAGACTCTTTTACATCCAAGTAAGATGAATATAAGCATGTGGAGTTCAGGGAGGAGATTCAGGTTGAAGACTTTACAGTCTTACGTGGATCTCATTTTCTGTTAAGGTTTAAAAAGGCGTAGTTGAAAGCCATTAGAACTTCCTGAATCGAATTACTCAATGTAGAAATATTTCATCATTGTCAACCCATTTCTATTTATTATAATGATCTCTCAAAATAATCATGGACATTGCTAGGTTTTACTGTCATTGCTTTTAAAAATACACATACCCATTGTATACTTACCATTTTGTCTGAGTACTTATCTCCTTCATTTCAGGGACTACTTGCATGCCAACATCTTTCTCAAGTTGCTTAATAACAAAATTTTTATCTGGGTAGGCTGTGCATTCAATATAGGCATCTTTTACACTGGAAGCATTATGGTCACTGAACTTAATCGGTGCACCAAAATCAGCTCGTTTTCGAGAAATCATATATGTAATCTGCAACACGGGTAAGCAGTAGAGGTAACACAATTAAGTCCCTGGAGAAAAATGGATGTGGGCGGACGACGCAGATGGTCTGCCTGGATCTCTCAGATCCCTTTGGATACGCGCTTTCTGTCCCCTCCAGCTCCGTGTGCTGTTTGCTCCCATGGCCACCGCCTGCTGCTCTTCGGGAAACACCACTTTGCCCGCAGGTACAAGAACAGGAAGTGGCTGGCTGTTTACATCTCAACCCGTGAGGGACTGATAGGAGACCTAGGGAAGCTCATCTCTTCTGCTTCTCTTTGGCACAACTCTGGGGTGTGATTTAGCTGAAGCCTTCCCGCCACTGAAATGTACAGGAGAGCGTTGTCCCTCTTCCTGCAGCTTTCCCTATACTCTCAAAACAAGTCACTCATTTAAATCCTCCTAGAAGCAGTTGCTCTGGCAACACCACTGTGACAGTTTCCTAGGGCTGCCAGACCCAGGCACCCTAGATTGGTGGCTTAAAACAACAGGAATTTATTCTCTCCCCAATGTGGAGATCAAGGTGTTGGAGTGTTTTTTTTTCCTCCCTGCGGCCTCTGAGGGAGAATCTATTGCTTGCCTCTCTCTAGCTTCTGGTGATGCCAGCAAACCTTGGTGTTCCTTGGCTTGTAGATACAGCACTCCATTCTCTGCCTCCTTCTTTCTCCTTGTGTCTCTATGTCTTCATATGGCCCTCTCTTTATAAGGACATGGCCGTATTGGAATAGCACTCTCCCATTTCCTAGTAGGTCACATACTGAGGTACTGGAGGTTAGGACTTCGTATCTTTTTTTTCTTTTGGGGGTTGGGGGGGCGGATACAATTCAACCCATAATACACACCTGAGACAATGACCACTTTTCTATCCAAAGAAAAACCTCATGCCCATAGCAAACATAGAAGATTTACAAACCCTTCAGGAATAAGCGCTATTCAGCTACAGGGAGGGAATGACTGGAGATAATAATCCAGGCCTCTGACCTGCTCTGTAGATGTCGTAACGGATTCTTCCTCAATTTCTTTTTCACTGCCCAAAGAAACCCATGGTTTAGAGACGGGTGGCTTATAATCGTACATCTCTTCAGGAATGTCTTCATCCTGTTCTTCCTGAGCTTCCGGGGGCTAGAGTAAAACAAATAACAGTCTGAAATACATGATCAAATTTAGGTTATAGCTACAGCTGTACACTTTGCAATAAACTTTATTGTTATATAAATTTATTAATCACTTCCTTATTATTTTTCTTTTTTGTTGGTTCCTTCTTTCCAATTGTTGGAAGGAAACCAAGAAAAAAACAACAACAACAACAAATCAAAACTTCAGACAGAAGAACAAAATAGGAGAGTAAAAAAAGAAAAGTCATGTGATAAGAAACTAACATTTACTGCACATCCTTATGACTATGGAACACTAAAACTTAATGTTAACTATAAAACTGGTTTCCTCTGACTTAATAAATTTTTTTGATAAGAGGATTATAAGTATGAATAAACATGATATATATAAAATAATGAGTGAATGTTTTTAAATCAAGATATCCACAAGGAGTATACAGAGACATATTAATGCCTAAATCTCTATAGCTATCTATCTATAAACTGAATAAGTATCAATAGGTGAGTAAACTGACACATTGTGTTATCATCATAAAATAAAATTCTGTAAAGCAGTTGCAATGAAAAAACTTGATCTACATATATATGATATCTAAATGTATCAACATGGGTGAGGCCTAGAATTTTATAATTCAGTGATAAACAAAAATTGCAGAATGATTTGTAGAATTTTATGTGACTTTTAAATAAAACAATAAAATACATTATTTGCGGAGCATACATATATGGTAAGAATATAAAACCATGGACAGAGGGGTATCTAACAACTCATATAGAGAGAAGTAGAATTACAGAGGATATAAGAGTGAATGAAGCATTATTATATTTTATTACTTTAAAAATTAAGTAACTATGGTAAGATATTAATATTTGTTAATTCTGGGTAGTGATTGTGTGGATATCTGTTAAATTATTATCTAAACTTTTCTATACAGTTGAAAATATTTCACTACACAGTTATGTGCTGTATAATGATGTTTTGGTTAACAGATAGTCCCATAAGATTAAAATGGAACTAAAAAATTCCTATTACCTAGTGATGTTGTAGCCATGGTAATGTCGTAACACAATGCATTTCTTTTAAAAAAAAATGTTTGTATTGATTTTGAGAGAGAAAGGAAGGGAGAAGAATAAAGAGATAGAAACATCGATGAGAGAAAAACTTCATCGATCGGCTGCCTCCTGCACACCCCCTACTGGGTTTAAGTCTGCAACTCCAGGCATGCGCCCTGACTGGGAACTGAACCAGTGATCTTTTAGTTCACAGGTCAATGCTTAACCACTGAGCACACCAGCCAGGCTGTATTTCTTATATGTTGGTGGTGATACTAGTGCAGACAAACCTTTTGTGATGTCAGAAATATAAAGTATAGCACATATAATTATGCATAGTACATAATACTTGTTAATAATTATAAACAACTGTGTATTTACTATACTACACTTTTTACATTATTGTATTCTCCTTTTAATGATTAAAAAAAGTACTTTGCTGCTGGAAGCCCATCCACCCTGGCTGCTTGTGGCAGTCCCTGCAGGGATGTTTCAAGGGACCTTGAAATGGAGATGGGAAGCCCCCTGGCCTTTTGTATAGAATGGATAGGATTGGGACCAAATAGTATAAATACAGATGTTAGATGACAATAAAAAAAAAAGAACCTGGCTATGATGATCACCTGAACACTGCCTCCGTGTCTTTCATTCTTCGCGGACTCCGTCCACACCTTTGGGAACCCCTGGACCCGCTGGGGCTGGACCCCAGCACTTTGCTATAAAACACATTATGCTGCAACTGGTCGATATTTCTCTCTCCTTTTCCCTTCCTCTCTCAAAAATCAATAAAAAAAGAGGCTCTTAGATTTAAAACAAAAAACACAATATGCCATGTTACACCAACAGCAGCCTCAAACATCTCATGTTTGATTGCATCATTTTGTTTTGTGCTTGATTTAATCTCATATTGTTTGTACAGTAATGGTAGCCTAGGATCAATAGGCTAGGACCATCTAGGATTGTGTAAGTACACTCTACAATGTTCCCACAGCAAGAAAATCACCTAGTGGCACATTTTTCAGGTGTATCCCCATTGTTAGATAGCACAAGACTGTAATAAAAAAAAATTAAAAGCACAAAGAAAAGCAACCATAAAAATAAAATTGAAAATATTAAGGCTAAGTAAACTATCATTTTTAGTTTAAAAAGTGTAGATATTTTAAAATTCTATGCTTTACTTTTTCTTGTTTGTTCAACAACCACTCAAAACCCCCCTGTCTACCTCAGTGTGACCAAGCCTCCCCATAGGGATGCCCAGGTCAGAAGGCAAGTCTCAGGAACTCATTACCTGCCACGGCCACTTGGAACAAAATACCTTGAAGGTTAACTAATTATTTTTTCTTTGAAAACTACAATTTTTAAAATTTCTGCTTCCCTCCCTGCCAACGGCCCACTGACAAAGTCATTCTTTTAAAATCTTACTGTTCAGTAATCATAGCAAACACTATAATGAGGGCTTTACCTTGTGTTAGCCTATTTAATTTTTATAACAGGCCTGGAATGGGCACTGTTGGTGCCACCGTTTTGCAGACGAGAGGTTTAGTAACTTACCCAAGCTATGGAGGTGGCAAGAGGAGAACCAGGACTATGGGCCGGGGCGTGGCTGAGGGCAGTGGTACTCCAGATTTGCTGTTTCTGCTCTCATTGGGCCAATAAAGGCAAATAAGTAAGAGTATCTGCTACCCTGAGATGTCTGCCTTAGTTCACCCTACATTTACTGCTTACTTACTCTCGGTGCCAGAACTCGATCCAGGCCCTGGGGTATGGGGGCTGAACAAGAAGAATCATAACCATGCATAGTTCTCCCCCAGAGGTACCGCTCCCTTCCAATAATCCACAAAACGCAAGGGCTTGGGTGTGCTTACGTTTAAATAGTTTTCCTTGCCCTCTTCTGTTCCAATAACATAAAAGTTAAGTCCAAATTCGAAGTCTTTGTCATAAACAATCAGAATCTCATCTCCAGGATATTCCTACAGGAATATAATCAAAGGAGAAGGTTATAGAATATTCCATCCAAAAGCAACAGAATATACAGGGTAAGCAAAAGTAGGCTTACAGTTGTTTATATGGGAAATAATACAATAACTGTACAATAATAATATAAGAATAAACTTTCTGTTTTGCATACTCATAACTGTAAACCTCCTTTTGCCAAGCCCTGTACATTCTTTTCAAGTGCACATGAAACATTTAAAATGATAGATCATAGGTTAGGCCACAAGCAAGTCTTAATAGATGTAAGAGGATTCAAATCATATTAAGCATATTTTTTGACCACCATGTATAAGACTAGAAATTAATTACACAAAGAAAACTGGAAAATTCACAAATATGTGGAGATTAAACAACTGAAAAGGAATGAAGGCTAATGAAGGTTAATGAAGTCCAGTGGTCATTCAATTTATTCAGACATCGACACAAAATTGATATTTTTCTAATCAATCAATCATAAAAGATCACCATACTACTTATCTATGGCCAATAAACCCAAGTTGCAAAATTACTTTATTAACTCTAAAAAGCTTTTAAAATACAGTAGGTCCAGGGAAATTTACCATGCAATTTTATTTCTAACAGGAAAAAAGAAGCATTTCTTTAGTTTGGCGTTGTGCTCTGTTGCATGCTTGGAGACAAATCAGGAAAAAAAATTATGAATTAAACAATTAAGATAGTATGGGAAAATAAGGGTAGATTCCTGTTCTAGTTACAACCGGGCAAGGATCAGTGTTTCTGGGTGTGGAATAAGACAGTCACTAAGTGTCAATGAGTGTTTGCTTTTCACCAAGGATCATCCAGCAGGATTCCCAAGGTGTGGGCAAGCTAGTATGTGTCCAAGCTCATGGAAAATGCCAGATTTGAATGCAGCAATCGCTCCAACTGTCATTATTATGTACCAGGAACCCCTTGAAGCAAAACTAAAAAATGAAGAGGGATGTTGCACTTACCTGGATAATTTTTTTGACTGGGTAGAAATCAGATACTGCAGCTCTGTTTTGAAAGTCTGCCAAAATATCTTGTTTTTTGATAAGTTTATAAGGTTGCTCATCTGTCAGATCTTCATCTATTCGGCAACTGAATATTTCTTGAGTCTTGGTAGTTAACACTAAAGGATAAATTTCTGGATGACCTGGGGAAGACAAAGTGGAATTTTGATATTAAATGTAACCACATAAAACATTAGCAATGGGAAACATGCAACTGTTTGCTTTAAATACCTGTCTTGGTTAAAATTTTTAAAAGTCTTTAAAATCATTGCTCTTGTTTTTTAAAATATATTTTATTGATTTCAGAGAGGAAGGGGGGATACAGAACTTAGATGAAGATCCTAGAGACAGAACTTAGATGACAGAACTTAGAAGACAGAACCCTCACAGAACCTAGAGACAGAAGAACTTTGCTGGAGAGAACATGGCAAAAGATCCTGGACAGAACCTGGCTA